GAAAGCGAGCAGCAAGTGGCTTTCGATGTGGTCTTGTACTCCGCGTGCGGAGCTGCAGGACCCCCGGTTTATGCGTTGCAATAGAAGCCTGAATAAAAGAGTCATTGTTAATTACAAATATATTGACCCCTAGAATTTTACCTTAAGGAAGTGTGTACACTGTCCCCAAACCCTATTCGAGTGGATTAAGGTCCATATATGGGAGTTTCCGGAAATAGGGGACCCCAATATAGTACCCTAAATAGTAGGATCCTTACTATAAGGGACCCCAACATAAGGTACCGCCTAATTTTTCGGAAAGTCCCATAGATCAGGCTCGGGGGCCTAAAGCCAGAAAGTCGGAACAAGGAGTTAGAAACAAACGGAATCCGAAGAAGAGCACTTCGGTGCACTGCCCTTTTTTGAGCGTGAACCGGGGCTCCTGTGATTTGGGGGCTCTAGACCAAAGCTGCCATATTCTAGCATGCTATGTATATTCTAGCTCTTAGAGTAGACTATAGTATGTTATAGTAGCCAGAAGAGTTCTTGCATTTCAAGGAGCCCGGGCAGCTCTNNGCTCTTCACCACGTCCACGGGCTCCTTCTCTCCATCCAAGCCGATTCCACGGCCACTGTCCCGGAGGGCGTCGTTCTCATCCGTGGCGAGACTTGGGTACAAGCAATGAGAACAGCCAGAGGTAGCTAGCAGTGTAAAACTAGCAGTGTAAAACTAGCCCTAGCAACGACAGCATGGCCCTTGCGAGGTGCAGGGTTGACGGTTTAAGTGGAGGCATCTCGTTCGGCTGATGTGTCTTGAGGTGTTCGGGGAAGCATCTTGCCAACTGCAAGGCTGTGCTGAGTGATCCCCAAGCCCAAAATCCTGCTGCACATTTTCAACCCCGATGTCTCAATGAGCCGCAAGTCTACAAGTCCTTCTCTGATGCTTGGCTGCTGCCCTAAACCCTAATTTTAAACCCTAAACACTAAACCGAGCTCCTCAATAACTATGCTCCTGGAGTCTACTTCAACCAGAGCACTCCATGAAAGAAAAAATCCCAGAGGAGCTCGAGGACACAAGTGCCGGCAACCTGAGCTTCAGATGTGGCAAGGGTTGTGATGTCTAGGCGGGGGTCGGGATTTAGGGTTATTATGTATATAAGTAAATAACTAAACAAATCAGAGTATATATATATAT